TCATCTGTAACAGGGCTCACTCAAGTTGCTTCCAGGGTAGGCAGGATCAGATCTCCTCAGGCTAAGGTTAAGGGTCTCTAGTACATTTTCCAAAAGACCCTGTCACGATGGGATCATCAAATACTGATACATCATTAGGCAAGGGGCTGAGAGAAAGATCCAGGACAAAGGCAGAATTCTCCCTCATTATGTTCCTGGGGATTCTCACTCCTAGGGTGCAAGGCTGGATTTAAATAAACATGGCGGAGTGATTCAAAATGGCGGAAACCATGGTATGCCCTGTTCCAGACTTCCTGCCTGATGATTCCTGTATAGCTTCTCTCTTCCACAGATTGGATCCTGGGAAGGATGATCTACTCCAGCCCATAACCAAAGAACATTTTATTTGCTATAACTCCTAGAGGAACTGAGAGGTCAAGATGTGCTTCTCGATTTGAAAATAGCCCTTTAGTGCTAGAGGTGACAGAAAAGGGGATTGCCAATCTGAATCTAGATGTATTCTCTGGAAACCAAAAGTATTCACTTGCATCAGCGTTATCTGGGACACACCCATGTGATAAAGCCCATTTTGAACTTTGGAATAGAAGTGTCATACCTTCCAGGGGTTCCAGCTGTCTATTCCCCTCATCTTGGTCTTAGCTGATGTGGAGGAAGGTATATAAGTGACATTAGGAGGACAACTATATTTTCTTACCAGAAAGGGCTGCAGTCTGATAATTCTGCTTGAATTCACCAGCCCAGGAGGGAAATGCTTAAGAAAGTCTTATTTTTATGAATTTTTACTATTATTATTATTTTGGTAGTGGGGATCGAATTTGGGCCTTTGCTGTTGTGAGGCAGGCGCCAGAACCATTGAACTAAATCCCCGGCTCAAGTCTTATTTTTATTACAGGAATGACCAGGCATTTCATTTGCCAGACGTAGGCAAATGCCAGAATTAGGATATTAGTTGTATTTGATTTTTTTGGTACCAAGGATCAAACTCAGGACCTTGAGCTTGTGAGGCAGGCGGTGGCACCACTGAGCCAAATCCCCGGCCCAGTTGTATTTGAATTTGGGATAAATAACAAAGAAGTTTTCAGTAAAACTATGTCTCAGACATTGTACTTTGTTGTAATTTATCTGGTAACCCTACCCTAACCCATTAATGTTTTTAGCCAAGCGAACCTAGCTTGAATCCAGGAAGGCAAAAGCAGGGCCGCTTCTCTGTTTCTCCTGTTGGAGCCCCATAGAGTAGGCCAAGTTAGAAGGCAGGGGAAGAGAGGATGAAGGGATTTGAGTTTACGGGTCTTTTGCAAGTCCCTGGAACACCGCTGTAGTGTTAAAATATGGAGATTGTGGAAACCCATACAAGGGCCGTCACACAAAAATACAAACATCTGAAATAATGAAAATATAACTCTACCAGGTTAGGAGTTAGGAGGTCAGGGATCTAGGTTGCTGCACCATTAACCAGCTGTGTGGCCTTTAATGAGTAATTTATCCTCTCTGGGGCTGAGCTTCCGGGAAACTGTAATCTGCATTGGAACTCTGAGGTTCCTAAGTCTGGCTCTGAGAACTGGGACAGCAGAGCTCAATCTGAAGGGTCAGGCGGTGGGGGTAGGGGGCTCCCATCTTTCACCCCACTTTGCTGGCTCCCTGCTCTGCCTGAGGTCTGTGGGACTCTGGGACACCAATGATGTTCTCCAGTGTCCTGTCTTTGAAGGACAGGAGGGAGTCCTGAGACCAGAGAACAGCAGTTCACTTGGTTCAATGACTTTCTTTGTACCAGTCTTCTATATTCCTTAAGCCCCTGCTGCTTTTTGTATCTCAGATTAAGCTTGCTTTAGGGTGTATTTTATTACAAGGCTCTATATTCAGTTTCCTAAATTTGTGATATAAATTTTCATAAATTATAGTGTGGTTTTAAATCAGAAGGCTATTAACTGATTAGGAATATAAGGCAAAACTATACTTTTAAAATATTGTTAGAATTTCCTTTTTTTATTTGAGACAGAGTCTCACTTCAGGCTGGCTTTGAACTCATGGTGATCCTCCTGCCTCAGCCTCCTGAGATCCTCTGGATTACAGTTGTGTACCAGCACACCCAGCAGAACTTGCTTTTGGAACTGCCTAAAATAGTTTAAATATATAAGGTCCTTACATATATAAATAAAATATATACTCACTGAACCCCCCCCAAAAAAAAAAGCTTTGCAATTTGAAGATGGTTTGAAATTTGGAGTTGTAGCCAAATCTGAGCAGAGAGGTGCTCAACGTGGGTGACACTGTTTCTGATCAAACACAGGTCATGGCAATAAGGAAATAATATTGGCTCTTATATGGCTCCTAAATACATGGAAGGTAGTTCTAGAAATATTTTGAGCAGGGAAGGTCTGATTGTAATATTCCAGGAGAGAAACTACTACAAGCTTGCATTATATTTGTCTGTTGGCCTCCACTTCTCCCAACTTGATTGGAAGCTCACTGAGGGCAGGGGCAGAGTCTTTTCACCAGTGTCCACACTGTACTTCTCTGGCAGCCGTGCCCCAGCAATGGTGCAATACCAGTTGGCTGAGTGAATAAAAGGATCTGCAGGAAATGGTCCTTCATTAACTCTCAGAAGCTCCCAAAAACATGCTGACCATGTGTGAACAGACGAACCACACCCTCTTACCTGTTCCCTGCCTTTGGCCACCATATTGGTTTCCTCAGCGGGTGGGAAATAAGGCATTCCAAGGCAGTTGTGCCATCCATGGGAAAATCCCACAGGCATGGGATTATCTCGCACCACAGATCTCTATTACCATTTCTCCCGCTCTTTTCCTCCCTAAATCTGGACCCCATTTGGTTTTGCCCAGTGCTTGGCTGATTATATGTCTGGCTCCAATATCAATTATTCCACTTCCTCCCCTTTCGGCCCCCTCCCTCTGCCAAATCCTTGTGTGCGCTCAGCTCTTCCCCGTTCCCATAGCCTCTCCTGAACTGAGAGGAGACAGGACATGCCTCAGCAGCTACCCTGTCATGAGTCACGTCTGCAGTCCTGCCAGCAAAGGAGTGAGGAGGGCTGGGCCTTAGGGTGGGGGAAGGAAAGGGATTTTCACTGGTTAGAAAATGGGCAGAGGGAGGGGTGGGGGCTGTTTGGGAGCATTAAGGGCTAGTGAAATAGCTGAGGATTAATTAACCAAGGCCCAGGGCACAGCATGGGCCATAGAAGAATGTTTTCTAGAATACCTCCTCCCATTTGCAGGGTACACCGTCCGTGTGATAACATTTACAGGTATCAACCTGCGAGTGGAGCAGACACACAGGTGTCATCACTCCCATTTTATGCACGGGAATTTTATGATGTCCAAAGTGGTCCCGATTTTGTCTAGTCACAGAACCAGGGTAGAATCTGAAACTTCTAAGCTTTCATCTGGGAATATTCATGCACACACAGACACATGACATCTCTATTGTTAGCATAATGATTTGCTTGGGACTGCCGGTCCAGTAATCTGGCTTCCTTGGGTTTAACCTAATCATATTATCCCGCATCAGTAAGACGTTTTCTCGGAGTCTGTCTGGCCATCTTCCTTTGTGTCAAAGCCCTTTCACATCCCTGCCTGATCTGCCAGCTTACTGAGCTCAATCAGTTGGTTTATGGTGCACTGAGGGTGTCGGCTGACAACAATCAGGGGAAAAAAAAAAACAAAGGAAGCAAATTTTTAGTGAACTTAATTCATTCTTCCCTCTAGTTCCCAACCTGTAACGTACAAGAAAGACCAAGCCTTCAAAATTAGTCGTAACAAGAGACAAGGAAAGAAGGAAGGAATCGTGCCAATGACAAAAGAGCTCCAAACTCATAAACCACCCACTTTCTCCCCTGCCTGGAATCCCAGATCTTCAACAATCAGGAGTGAAAACTGTGAGTAATATGGCTCAAAGCAAGCACTGGTGATCCTGGAACCCCAAGAAGCTGAACCCCAGCTTCCCACGGAGAAGCAGGCTTCCTTCCTATCTGCACAACTTTTCAAGGCCTCCCCAAAAGAACTGCTAAGAATAGTGAGGCCAATGTTGAAATCAACAAAAGTAAGTGAAAGTCATAGAACACGGGAGCACAAGAAACCTGGTGTGCCGGGTATCCCAATATTCCTGATTTCAGAGTGAAAGAAAACCATGCTGTTGTACTATTACATTAAGGGCATCTGTCACAGCACAGTGCCTGGCCCAGAGCAAAGCTCAGTAAATGGACAGATGGGTGGAGTGCGTTGAGGCCACAAGGAAGACAGAGACAAAACCAAGATTAAAGGGTCTAGAATAGTCTCCACCTACATTAATTATTTAAAATCTGAAGAACTATAGTAATCGGGTTTTTTTTATGCCCACTGGTTCATTTGATTCTGGTAATACCAAGTAGACTTTGTTACATCCGCTTTATACCTGTGAGGGGCCTGAGGCCTGGAGGTTAAAGTAACTTGCCCAAAGTCACATGCCCCGAAAGTGGCAGAGTGAATTTGAGGCTAAATTTATCTAACTGACAAACCCAAGCAACATTCTCCCCTCTGGCATCAAGTCCCTTCTGCAGGAGTCACTGCAGTGGACATCCGTCTTGACCCCTGGAGGACCTTCTGGAGCCCCTCCATGGCCATCAGTACACACTGAAGAAGGAACCCCCTGCAAGATTTTCCTAGAAACATAAAAAGTGGCCCACAAATGGACTTCAACAATTCAAAACTTCTCTCAAATCCATGATTGCGTCAGACATTGGGAAATGAACTTTAAAAATACCCCTTTTCCTAAAATGTTCTCACTTGAGACATTCAGAAATAGCCGATCATCCTCAATTTGAGGCTGCACACAGGGCCCTCTGTGAAATAATGGCCAGGCAAAAAGACCTGGTCAGACCCGATGATCCCAGTGCACTGATCTCTGCCTGTGTTACTCTTTTTTAGCAACCAGTGCAGGCTTTCTCCACATGAACCCCAGCCCATCCTGACAGACATTACAGGTCTCTTTGGGTGGAAGTTGTTCCTTACCGGATATCCCCATGAGCCATTTCCTGCCTGGAACTTGGAGTAGTAGCTGCTCCGGCTGGTGGTCCCATAGTTGTTATAATTGTCCGATAAGCCATCATACATGGAACCTGAAGAGCAAAGAAAGGGTTAGACAGGACAGCCACCCATACCTCCTCCTCCCAGGGCATCACCCCGCATCCAGGTCTGTCATGCCCATAGAGAAGTTAGGTCTGAACTCCTGAGGGAGGAGGGTAGAGAAGAAGTCATCTGCTGGCCACCTCCGACTCTACGTCCTCCACAGCCAGGACCCAGGGGAAGACCACCACGGACTGCTACAGGAACAACTTCAAGAATCTGCTGACTTCTTCCTGGGAGCCTGGTGGCTGCCCAGGTCTTTGGGAAGGTTGACACCTACAAGTCAGGAGTTGTCCCGGAGGGTCCTGGAGCACTGTCATCTCTGCCCAGGGAATCACGACTCCACGTTCCACGAGGATCAGCTTCCCACTTGGGGAAGGCAGGCAGTATCTCGACATTCCAGGCACAGAGCCCCAAGATCAGAGCACAGAGCAGTGCAGGCTGACTCCCATCGGATTCCGGAAGGGACTCTGGATTCAAAGTGAAGCCCAGCCCCCTGGGTGACCAGGTGATCTTCCACCCCTTTCTTCATTTTTGAGGTCCTCCAGCTGGTAAGCGGGGAAGAGTGATCAACCTCAAAGGACCCATGAGGAGTAATTAATGTTTTCACAGTGCTTGGAAATCCCAAATGACAGGCTCCACGCCAGAGGACGGAGTGTCATTAGGGTTATTAGCAGCAAAGTGGCTTTGGATCACAGAAATCAGAACTGGATTCTGGCTTCCTGGTGGGGCTATCCCAGTCACCACCTCCTCAGTTCTCCCTTTCACAGATGGCAGGAGAATTCTCTAAGGGACAGCAGTAAATCTGCAGGACACACTCATGGCTTTGCTCACATCATTCCTCTTTCTGAATCTCCTTGGCTGCGACCGTCGAATCCCGTCCATCTTCTAAAGCTGAGGTCAAGACCTCCCCTCCTCAAGGACGTGCAAGACAATCCCTCCAGCCTCCGAGCACGCATTCTCCTGTCTGCTCTCCAGTCTCTCCCTGCCTGGCACCGCTCCTTCAGCTACACCGGTGGCTCCATGAGGGCAAAACCATGGCTCTGTGGCCCAGCTGCCAGAGTAAGGTTTGCACCACCTCTTGTTAAACGTAGCCTCTGGGGATAAAGGTGAGTGGTACCAGCGAGCACCTCTCAGGAGGGATGTGCTTCTTTTCTCTAATGTGCTCGCCAGAGTCCCCCATCTGAAACTCTGTCTAACCTCGCATGGTGGCACACGCCTGTAAAGTCAGCTAGTCGGGAGGCTGAGACAGGAGGGTCTCAAATTACAGCCTGGGCAACTTAGTGAGATTGTCTCAAAATCAAAAAGGGCTGGGGGCCTAGCTCAGTAGCAGTAGAGCACTTGCCTATCACACTCAAGGTTCTGGGTTCCATTCCTAGTGCAAAAAGAAGGGAGTGGTGCTGAGAATTTAGCTCAGTGGTTCTGCTGCCTGCCTCGCAAGCATAAGGTCCAGAGTTGGAACTCCAGTACCAAAAAACCAAAACAAAACAAAAGAAAAAGGAGGAGAAGGAGCAGGAGGAGGGGGGCAGGATAGTGGAAGAGGAGGAAGAGGAGGAGGAGGAGGAGGAAGGGGAGGAAGGGGAAAAATAAAGAAATGAGAAAAAAAAGCAAACGGGAAAGGAAGAGGAGGGGAGTGGAAGGGAGGGGAAGGAAC